TTTATCAAATTCCTTGGCCAGGAAAATAATCTTTCCTAGAATTGATAAATTATTGTATTGTCTGCTCGGTGGCCGGACAGATCAAATAATTGTAATATCAATTCTGCTACAGTTAATTTTAAGATCTAATCTAAATATTAATTATTAATTATAACCAGTTATAATTAATCATAAATATTTCCCTTTTGAGCTAATTTGCTACATACAACTGGCGAAAGAACAAATCCAGTTTAAATTCAACCCCCCCAGCAGTCCACACTTTGGAGGAGCTTGGGAATGAGAAATAAGATCCATCAAGTCTGCACTATATGCCACTTTGCAAAGTCAAAACATGACTGAGGAGGTATTAAGGACAGTGCTGATTGAAGTGGAAGGAATCTTAAACTCAAAACCTCTGGGTTATGCATCAACTATGCAGACCCCAATCCTATCACACCCAATCTTCGCCTTATGGGGCGGCTCGACCCATCGCTCCCCCAGGCTGTCTACCATGAATCAGAACTTTTAAGTCGTAGTAGATGGAGGCACACACAAGTCCTCGCAGATCAGTTTTGGAGACAATTCATCAAGTATTACCTTCCTAAACTACAGACCCATTCCAAGTGGCAGAAAGACACTGATTACTTAAAGCCTGGCATGATCGTGATGATCCTAGACCCTCAATTACCCAGAGCTGTCTGGCCAGTAGGACAGATCACCAATGTTATCCCAGGAGCTGATGGTAGGATTAGGACAGCAGAGGTCAAAATAAAAGACAAAGTATACACCAGACCAGCAGCTCGTCTTATTAAATTACCATCCATCCATAACACTGACAAAACGGAGACAATTCCTTCTAAACAAAGGCGAGTTTGAATGTGCAAATTCGGGGGCGGCTGTTGTGAAGGACTGTGATAACTAACAATGGACATTGAATGCTATTGGTGGGTTTTTTAATTGACAGCTGGAACTACGAATCAGTACAGCTTTAGCGGCAATACTGTATTAACGGCAATACTGTATGCTTGTGTACAAAGATCACGATTCAGCAATTGCTATTCTTCTTGTGTGAATTAATGTGATTATGATTGTTTACAACAGCTGTTTACATGCTTATCAGACCGTTATGTGGATTATATGCTTAGTTGCACGCGTACGGATAAATGCCTCGATTAATGGGGTCATATGATGCGATTTAAAATTTTCCTTTCTCTTTGGAGTGTTACAAGCTCTTGGTGCATAAAGAAGATCTGTAAAGTTGCAAAGACTAAAGTCTCAAATCCAAAGAGATATTGTTTATAAAAGTTAAGACTTGTCCACGCCCTCCTAAAATGGCTCGTTTAAACACGCCCCCACATGTCTACATCACTGTGTGGGAAGATTTGCATAACACCGCACAAATGTTCACACAAAGAAAGAAGGCGTAACTTTTATTCTCGCTGTAGTATTGTTGTTGCCGCCGGCACCATGTTGTGGAGATGATGTGTGTTTCGTTGTGAAAGCGAAACTACTTTGTTTGGCCTTCCAAAAGAGGACGATATCCGCTTCATCATGCCTAGAGCTGATCCGTGCTGGTCGCTGAGGAAATACATTAACTTTGCGCTGTGGATCGCCGGATCGGCTTTCACCGTGGACGAAGCGGAGTCCAGCCCCGGGTCGTCACATGTGATTGCCGCACGCTCGCCGGCCCCGGGTCGTCACATGTGGTTGCCGCACACTCGCCGGCCGCTGCTTCATCGAATCCGCCAGCCGCGCCGTTCTCAAGGCCGCCGTGTGTGACGCTGTGTGACGCATTTTATGGAAGACTGTTTCCTGAACCTGCAGAGTAGCATACAATGGGTCTGTGCTCAAAGGCTGTTCTATAAAAGTGGGGCAGTTCCAACTTTGCAAGGACAGTCTAGTGCTTCTGACTCACAGCCTGTAAGTAAATTTTTTATATTTAAAGAATTTGCCACTGATGATTCAAACGCGAGTAGCACTTGTTGTTTGTTGTTTCTCCAATCACAAATGCAGACATGGTTTTATGTTTACGCGGCGCGATACGCAACGCAACGCAACGCGTAAAAAGACAGTACAAGTCATTATAATCAGTAATTATGTCCCCACTGGATGCAACAAATGCCTCGTTTGTAATGGGTTTTATTCGTTTTGTCTCGCCGTGCCGGGAGACGGCATCACAGTGTGTTAAGGGGCGTAACATTTCCGTCACACGCTAGAGGTATTCAGCCAATCACAACGCACTGGATAGCTGGCCAATAAGCATGCACCTCGCTTTTCAGAACGATGAGCTTTGTAAAAATCGACGCATTTCAGAAAGGTGGGGCATAGAGGAGCAACAATAATGTACATTATTCTTTTTAGCAATGTCATATGACCCCTTTAACGTTCTAAAATTGCACCGTTATGTTGTTTACCTAAGACCGCTGGAATGCCGTTAATGACGTCAGCGGGCCTGAAGGCAGAAGTAAGTACTTCAAAGCACTAATAGTAATCAATATGCCAGAAACATGGTTACTAGCCTACACTTTTACTACAATAAAACCATTGTTATTTTTTTGTAAGGGTATCATTCACATAGCCTACAAGTGTATAAAGTTAGACACGATTTTTTTTAAATTAGCAGACAAAAGGTCAACATCACTCAGTGGCAATATACAACAAATAGATGCACCGTAACGAGCAATTTACTTTAAATTGGTCGCTATGCATCAAAGCATCTGGTGTGCTCAGATTATTAATTGCTAAATTCAATGAATGACTTAACTTACTTGTCTGTAATGATGGCCGTGTTAAAAACACTGCTTGCGTCACGAATCACTTAATTAATCTTTTGTTTAGAATCAGTGCCTCAGATCATGTAAAACGTTAACCACGTTGGTCACGTCCAGAGCTTTAGTCACGTCAACCACGCTTCGCTACATCATACGTTTGGAAACCTCAGTGGTTCGACGCTATAGGGCGATTGATCTCAAGTGAACCCATGGACCAGTATTACATGTATGATTGTAATTGATTTCAAATCAGTTTTTTTAAGTTTATTAAATTCAAGTAGAGTTTTGTAGTTCTGTTTGTCTGTGAACCAACACACTTGCATTTACACTGCTTTAAACAGTAGATGTCCTCAGCATGCGGGGGTTCCAGCACGTTGCAACGTTGATTCGAATTTTGATTCGGAAAGCCTGCACACTCAAAGTCATTGGCTGAGTCAACTTTTCGTGATTTCTTTATGCAATGTCTGATTAGAAATGATAAATTGTCATATATATCAAGAAATGTGTTATTGTCTTTTAAAAATCACTCATGGAATAGCAAAGTGTTCTCTAGTTGCACCTGCTCTTTCATGAATAGTACCCGTTCATATCCTATCGTGTGTCCTAATATGCATTCTTCCCTACTATAAAGCAGAAAAAACAGTAGCCTATGTGAAATGAGAAGTGTTCATAAAACAATACGAGAAGTACCCTGATGACCTAGGCCTACTTCTTCCGTCTAGTTTCCTAAGTCCCATGAGGCCATAGAAGATGAGTTGTAAATGGCAGTGAAGCGACTGACGCCGTAAGTCACATGACACTGACAGCATAGAGCGGTGTAGAACATCTGAATTTCATTCATACTAAACACATTCAAACTATATAGAACATACTTTTTTAAGTTCCACATCAGATGTAATACCTACTCAGACAGTATGCAATTTCGGAAATACTGTTTTTTGAATACTACTAGTGAAGTAAGCATATTCTGAGATGAGAAGCTCTTATTTATGGGTTCAAACACCAACAGATGGTATGAGTCTGTGATAATAAAACTGACCAGTCCAAAAGGTTAGAGGACAGGGCTGGTGACTATTGACCCCAACCAAAAAGGTCACATGCAGTCACTGGCAGCTAAGTGGAAGTAGCTAAACATACAACAACTCAGCAAATGCTTTTGTCTCTGTTTCTTTTTTCAGTCCTTTATCCCTTTATCCCAAACACATTTCGGAGGCAAAGCGCAACCAGTCGAACATTCTGTTAGGGAGGTACAGAAAAGGTAGCGGTCTGGTCCGTATGGAAAGTATCAAAACGGGAATGCTTCACTCCCAGCTGAAGACTCGCAGACAGCAGGTGGAGTCTGAAGGCAGCGATGAGATCATTGAGGCCAACAATTTTCACATGGGTTTGTTTTACAGTGTTTACCAGAGTCAAAAACTCCCTAGCGCTAGCACCCAAATGCCACACACACACACACACACACACACACTTAAAAATAAACATTTAACGGTTCCATGAAGAACCCATGGAAACTTTCAATTCCACAAAAGGTTCTTTAGATGATTCAAATGTTCTTCACACATTGATTTTAAGAACTATTCATTTAAAGGTTATTTGAGGAGCCAAAAATGGTTCTTCTGTGGCATCACTGCGAAACCCCTTTATTTTCAAGTGAACCCTGTGAACTCTTGAGTATGATCCAAAAAAACATTTATTCAGTTGATACTCATAAAAACACAATAAAATCACATAATAAGATGGACAATGGTGGCATCTCCCCAAAACTGTATTTGTCCTATATCTATGATTGAGCTCTATTGTTTGGGCTTTACTCTATCCTTCAGGAATGTTTTCATCAGCAAACCCCAGAGCCGATTCCACCTGGCCCCTCCTATCGGCACAGAGCCGCACTGTCCAGGAATGTCATACAGTATCTCTGCATCCTCAGGATCAGAGAAAAAAAGTGTGTCATCCAATATCATGATGACAGGCACAGGCGACACAGGAACATGTGCAGCTGCAAAAGTTTCTATGGCAGTGAACCAACACATTGGGGTTACACAAGTGTCTGTAAGCTGACCAACCATTTGTGACCTAGTTTCAAGCCTGAAGTGAGAGAAATATTAACATGAGGCAAAAACTCCTTCACACTGCTGACACAGACATTCATTTGTTAGCGACACTGACCTCTGCTGTACAAAAGTAGTAACTCATAGGTGACAAAAACAAATTTGATTATGCAAAGCAGGAAACTATTAATGAGTTGCATAAATTCAGTCTTATATTGACTTACATACAAAAGTTTTATATTCAAATGCTTCAAATTCTGTGGGCATGTTAATACATTGCGTGTTATAAACTCGTAAAGCAGCTGTTGCATTATGCATAAAAAACAATGTATTTAGATACATTTTTCAAATGTTACAACTTGTCATGTGTACATCAGGCAAGACATAAACAAGCATTATGTTAAGCTTCAGTCTTACAGTAAAAAAAAAAAAAGATTAGACATGCATGCTTTATTGAGAACTGTCCTACAATCTACATCCTCTTGCTGAGAAGGCATGTGTCACTGATTCTGTTAAAAGGAACATAAGACATAATTTATTTGTTAAAATAACCACAAAAGACCTATTCATATCTATAGATATTATATCTATAACTAGATATATTGTGTTTTCTAATGAAAAAGTGTGTTATGTTTGCCCATGCAAAACTCATCGATTTGATGCTAGATGTTTTGGGTGGTTGCCAGGTTATTGTAATAGGTTGCTAAGGTGTTCTAAATTGTTTTTAGCATGTTGCTATGCCGTTGCAAAAGTAAAAATGCAAAAAGATGAAAAAATTTAAACTAAAGGAAATCACAAAATAACCTGACACTTGATATACAGTATACCTACTGATATAAATTTGCAATTTTACTTTGAAATTGTAAGTGTATTCATTTGTAAACTGAAATTGAGACATTTGTTAGCTATAAATGTATTCAAACTAGTTTTACATGTATCTAAAGTAAAATGAATTCATCCTGTATGTACAGTAAATAGTGTGCATGTGTGTTTTGGGGGCTCATGTCTGATCACGTCAAAAACACCATGAATCATGAGAACCAGTGATTGTAATCATAGCATGCTGGGGACTCTATTATGCACCTATTTTTTCTTACTGGTTTACATACCATCCTCAGACATGTGAGTTTCGTCCATGGTGTTCTCTTTTTGTCCCCATCTAAGAAACAAGAAACAAATAAAAATCAAAACAACCAGCAAATATTTTCCAGGAAAAGCTGCCGGTAGCAAATTAAGTCTAACAACTTGTATATCAGAGCTTTTCATCTTTTTTTCACAACATGTCCACACCCGATTCAATTCTAAAGCTTATATGCAGGTTTGGAACTGGTATGTCTACTATTATTTGACTTATAAGACTACTATTCATAAGACTTCCATCTATAATTTGCTTTTAATTATTACTCTTATTTTAAGTGGAAAGAGCATGTTAAATCAGGAATTACTTTTTTTGTAAATTAGATATATATAATCTCAAACACAATGTGTACTGTTACCAACAACAATCTCTCCTTCTAGCCAGCGGCAACAGGTGTGTCAAACCGCTGTCTGTTTACCTTTTATTGTCATTCTACCAAACAAGACAGCTGCCAGGATCACGGTCAGAAATATGACAGCAGGCAATAAAATCTTCTCAATGTCCTGACTTCTCTCTGGGTCACGGCACCAATTTGCTGTGTGATTAAACAACAAAATTCATATCCTTCATAGCTTGTATTGTGTAACATGGCAATACAGTACAACTAAAAGTGTAGTTAGTGGCATAACTAACTAGATTTTCATTAGCTTGACATTAGTTTAGCTGTTTTCAAAATAGTGTAGCTTTTCCAGAAAGAGACTACACTACAAAACAATACATTGCAAGTATTTATTCCATCATATTTTCCACAATGTAATTATCTAAGTACAAAGTAGTTAAAAAAAAAAGATTAGCTTGAATGTAGTTGAACTACTTGAAATTATGAGTAGCTGTATCACAGGAGAGGCCACTAACTTTTCATTAGTGTGACACTAGCACTGTTTTCAAAAAAGTGTCGCTTTTACAAGCTAAACTACAAAATGCTTCACTGGTATTTTTAATTGCATTTTTAGAAAAAATTTGCATTGCAACATTTTTCAATGCATTGTTATGGCCAAAACTTAAAGGGATAGTTCACCCAAAAATTCAAATGAAAATGATTTACCCATCCTCAAGTCAGGTGCATACGACTTTCTTCTTTCAGACAAATATAATCAGAGTTATATTAAAAAATGTCCTGGCTCTTCCAAGCTTTATAATGGCAGTGAATGGTGGTCGATATTTTTGGGTCCAAAACAGTGCGTCCATCCATCATAAAATGTATTTCAAATGGCTCTGGGGGGTAAATAAAGCCTTCTGAAGCGAATCAATGCATTTATGTAAGAAAAATATCCATATTTAAAACTTTATAAACCGTAATCTCTAGCTTCTGCTAACTGTCGTACCCACGTTCATGAGAGAGTGGCGTTCCAGGGGATGATGTAGGCGTATCGTAAAATCTGGTAAGAATATGCTAGTCTCACGAGAAACAAGTTTTGTTTACAGCAAAGGAAAACCAATCTCCACTTGGCTTATATCGAAATCCTCCATCATTTTTCTTTACAAATCCTCATTTTGTACTTCTAATTCGTGACCAATGTTTTGCTTAAACATGGATATTTTTTCACATAACTAATTTTTTTTAAAGATTAGGTTTAATGTTCTTCTTGCTGTGGCTGTATCATGGTGGACAACTTTTACATTTACATGTACATTTACTGTACATTTATCAAAATAGTGTCGTTTTTGTAGTAGCTACACTACAAACATTGTTGTTTTCATTGTTTTGTGCCCACAAAAAGAACTGCTTGAAAGTAAGTGTAGCTGTATCACTAACATACTAAGGCACTAACTTACTACCTTTTCATTAATGTGACACTAGTTTATTGTGCCCACAATGCAGAGGTGTCAAGTAACGAAGTACAAATACTTCGTTACCTTACTTAAGTAGAAATTTTGGGTATCTATACTTTATTGGAGTAATTATTTTTCAGCTGACTTTTTACTTCTACTCCTTACATTTTCACGCAATTATCTGTACTTTCTACTCCTTACATTTTAAAAATACCCTCGTTACTCCTATTTCATTCCGGCTTGTCATCGTTAAAAAAAAAAAAACTATCCAGATAAATCGCGCCATCCGGATAGAGTGAATTTGACTGTGGTTGGATGAGAAGTATAAACATATACCATTCCGACACCCTATTGGTTTGTATGCGATCCATCGCACCTGCACATGGCACAAATCACCTCACACTCCAGCAAGGACATAGCCAGTGTTGGGGTCGTTACTCAAAAAAGATTATTTCTTAAAAGTTATTATTTCGCCACTACTGGCTCATTTATCAAACGGGTGCTTTCTCTTCGTCCTCCGCAAATTAAGCTACAGTCGGTAGTTCGGCAGAGAGACGTTTGAATAAATTAGCGTTTGCGATTGACAACGCATCTTCTAGTTAAATGTGACATTGTTGCCATTAGCTATAGAATTGAGCATAGTACATACCGGGAAGGTATCAGGATTATGAGTTATTTTTAATTTTTATTTGTTGATTAATCACTTGGATTAATCATTCATTTTGACAGCACTAATGTTTATTGTATATAGACAACCGGACAAGGGTAATTGTTACTAAGCCTGCCCTGGGTACACCAATTTTCTTGTCTGTTGCCCTCACAGATTCCTGCAGCTAAGCTTGGATGTACATTTACATTCCAATAAAGGTTATTGATGACATGCCTCTGAAGTTTGACTTTTTGCACCATTACAATACTTATAAGCAACTAGTCATCATATCTTCCGCTCCATGAAACACATTTTAATGCTCAGTAGTACACATATATGGTTCTTTAATGTATTTGCTTTGTACTCAAATGCGTTCATTTTCAATGGGCATATATGCGGCTGAAACAGGTAGCCTAGTGCATCCCACATTTTTCAACATTAACATTTTAATATAACATAGTCATTATGGCCTTTAGAAAAATGTTTTTTTGAGGAGGTGGGGTAGTGCACAATAGGCCCCTGTGGCGCGGCCTAAGCTTTTGTCCTTAATGGCATTTTTTTCCTTACATTACTTTTACTTTTATACTTTAAGTAGTTTTGAAACCAGTACTTTTGCACTTTTACTTGAGTAAAAAGCTTGAGTTGATACTTCAACTTCTACAGAAGTCTTTTTAAACCCTAGTATCTATACTTCTGAGTAATGATTGTGAATACTTTTGACACCAGTGCCACAATGTAGCTAGTAGTTTTTAGCATGTACTGTAGCTACATTACACTATTTCTAAAAGTTTAGCTGTAGATTAGCTGAACTACTTGAAATTATTATGAGTAGCTGTAGCTTGTCACTTAGCAAGCTACAGTTTCAAAAGTAGCTTCTGCAACACTGATCTTATCACCTTTACATATGTACTTACAACACTGCAAGTCGCATTGAAGTACAGGGACTGAAAAGCGCACATCTACCCTCTGGACCTACAAACATGAAAACACAAGACCATACACATCAGTAATTACCACTGACAAAAATCCAACAAGATTTGACAGCACTGTTACTGTTGCTTTCCTTTGTTGCCATACCTGGATGCAGACGCACACTTCACACAAACTTTTAGACAAGTTGAAAACTGCGTGCTTCATTTTGTCCTAGAAAACAAATAAGACCTGGCATGACATCAAACAAGCTTAAACAAGACCGCTTCTGTGCTTTGAGTTTTCCTTAGAACAGACCAATTTCTTTCTCATGTCATCAGGTACAAACCAGGTGAAAAGTTTTACTTTGACAAGGGAATTGCCTTCAGTGGAGGCCTCAAGGCATGGTTTACTAATATGAATAGGAGTGTACCGAGAAACCAAGAAAACTATGAAAAAAAAAATCCATATGACATCATGTACATTTGCTTTAAAGTTATTATAACTGATCCTACAGGCAGATTATCCTGCTCACGGCTCCTTACCACAGAAAGATTTTGGAACTTGTTTCCCTCGATTCGTTTACACTGAGAGGAGGGTTTCATCTCACAGACAGAAACGGAGAAGCTGTCCATATGACATCATGTACATTTGCTTTAAAGTTATTATAACTGATCCTACAGGCAGATTATCCTGCTCATGGCTCCTTACCACAGAAAGATTTTGGAACTTGTTTCCCTCGATTCGTTTACACTGAGAGGAGGGTTTCATCTCACAGACAGAAACGGAGAAGCTGGCTTTGACCCATGTTGAAATCTCTGCCCACTGCTGACCATCTTTTGATGTAATCTTTGCTGTCCAGACTTGTCAGATAAAAGGACATTTAGCATCATACAGTGTGTAACATAAACATCTGTGAAAGCTATTGTGCTTAAATACCTGAGAAATTTCCTTTGGCAAAAGGACACTTTATCCATGTCCCCACTTCAGTGGTAAACTACAAAAAACGAAATGACAATGAATTCCAACCCAACCCAAAAAGCTATTTTCTGTCAATGACATCATTCATTTAAAGGAGCACTTCACCCAAAATGTTAAATTCCGACTTCATATCTAAACAACTCATGTGGTAAATTTCAAGTCACCAGAAGTCATTTGATAGTTTTTAAAGAACAGACCATAATTTTTAATTATAAATAACTTGTTTTTCACTGAAATTCACAAAAGATCTTGTAGCTTGTAACTATCGATAAGATTATCAGTTACTAATTTACACAAAACTATTTTATGACTTATAATATATAGTAGGGTTACTATAAATCATCCTTTTCCCAAACATGTCCTGGCCGGAATTTCTAAATTGTCTAAAATGTTTAGGTTTTGCCTTTGTTTGATTGACCTGTTTGACAGGGAATGACTGAAAAGTAGTTTAAGCAATAGCATACAAGCATTGTACTCAATCATGGAATGGTCAAAACAATGCAAAAGCATGTACATATAATGTATGAGGACTGTAGAGATCATGTCAATAGGAACAAAAAAAAAAGTCAAAACCCGGATATTTTAGGCAATTTAGAAATCCCTGACAGAAAAAAAGGATGTATAGCCCTCTAAATATAGTTCAAAACAATGTGGATATAGTGCATGAGTCATATGGACTACTTCTATGGTGCTTTTATAGTGCTTATTATCATTTTTGTAATGTGACAGTTCCAGTCCCTATTCACTTTCATTGCATGGAAAAAAGCAACTAGGACATTCTACTACATTTCTCCTTTCGTGTTCCATGGAAGAATGAAAGCCAAATGGTTTGGAACCTCATGAGGGTTAGTAAATAATGACAAAATGTTAATTTTTGGGTGAAAGCAAATATGCAAAAATAAAAACATTTAACCTTCGTGCAAAGCATTGGGTGTGGATCCACGGAAGAGAATATCACCTGAGGTAAAAACAGTAAAAAATGATATTAGGGTTCCTAACGATCAGCGGCTATTACTGCACATGTAATAAAAAGGAACAAAGGATTAGAGGGGAACAGAACATACTTTTTGTCCCTCTGAATGGAAAACATTTCCAATGTCTTGACAGCTTTTCCCTCCATCAGCATGGCACAGAGAAACTGACACTTTGACTGGACACTGCGGCCCCCATATCAACTCTTCCTTATTGAAGTCATAGGTTATCCCCGACCACAGTTCTTCTAAATCTGTTACAGAGAAAAATGCAAGTATTTTAAAGTAAATTTTGAACTTTAAAATGCCAATTTATAATATTATTAATTTATCAATAGTGATTTAAAAGGATAGTTTGACCAAAAATGGAAATGTAAGGAAAAAAACAGGTGAAACATTCTTCAAAATATCTTCGTTTGTGTTCCACAAAATAAAGAAACTGCTGCAGGTCTGGAAACAACATTAGGGTAACTGATGGTGAATTACTGATTTAAGTGCTTTAGCTTCACATTTGAGACCACTGGCAAGCTAATGATTTGGAACGCTATCTAACAGGAAACAGGTACTCCTTTTACAAATTCAAACAAGTGCTAACTAGTACAGAAAAATCTGATACAGATACAATACATCCAAATGCAAATAAGCAAGCCAATGCAAGAAAGTTTTTTTCCCCATCAATTTAGCTGTTGGTGAAAGGTTTTGAGGCGGGTCTGATGTTGCCACTTGTTTTTTGCCACTTGTTTTAAAATGCTAGGTTACCTCACAAAGCATTTTTACAGTGTAAACCGAGAAACTGAAAACATCTAGGACCTCTGTTTTGAACAAAGTAAATTTAACTTACTGTTTTTGAATGGACACACTTGAACTCTCCTTGCATCTACTCTAGCAGGCCAACCCTGAAATAAAAGATGGTGGAAATCAACACTTCCTTCTCTACCTGTCAGATTGCATGTTCAAACCGTAATTTTCCGTAAAATAAAGCTTTCATACCTCAATGCACAAACAGGGTAATGGTTTGGAATAATGAAGCATTATGCTACTCTGTAGATGTTGTGGTTTTATCTGAAACACATGCAAAACACAAGGGTAACATTTCTTCTAGGAAATGCAAGGGAAAGTGTGCTCGTCATTTTTACCTTCATATGAGCCCCTTCCCCGGCACAGATGACATTACGTTTATGGCAGAGCCTGAGGTTGTAGTCTGTGTCCTCTGGAGCATCAGTCACTTTCACTGTTAATGCATTCCTGGCTTTATCTACAGTGTACGCCAGCTTCCCAGCTACAACAAAATGACAGTACAGTTACAGCTTTACATACTGTCTATCTATCTAACTATCAATGTTGTGACATGATAAAGAAACTTACTGATGCACTCTGCAATTTCATCTCTGATACCTTCATGACTGCATTCTGGCATTAAAATAAAAGGGCAATAGCTGTTAATGTTATTCATATCATGTGTGACTACACTGGTATATATTGACTGCTGATAAACACAACACTGATACCAGGAACCAGGTGTCTTTGTGTCCACGTGGCCTTACAGTAGTTGGGAATGGTTTTGAGAGTCACAAACACAAGCTGTCCAGGTCTAACAGGAACACATTTAAACTTCACATCAACCTAGAAGCAGAAACAGAGTATTTGATATCTGACAAGCATACAAGATAGGAGGTTATAGTTTCTGTGGTACTGTGGCAGATTTGTGTCATTGATAACATTCTCAGTGGTAATGCTAGAAATCTATTTGCATAGTGTAACCATCAGGTAAGCATCATTCATATGTTTATACTGTACCTGTTTTCCTGTGGCTTTTCCTTTGCCAACATGGCCAAAGGTGTAAATCTGGCAATGTCCTATCATCCCTGCAGAGTCGGCACACACTGAAACTCCACGAATATCACCTGGAAAACAGTTCGAATCTTTAGGAGAACCGAAACACATCCATTTTGTGGGTGGCACAAAGTGGTGACGTCATTTTGCAATTTCTCCTTTAATTAACATTTCAGGTTAAATCAATAAGGTAGTACGGTAATTATTAAGGCTAATTGTGTTTAGTTAATGTTAGACCTTTTAGATTATAGAGTATTTAATTAATAACTTATTGTTGTGCCAGATTTGGTTTTAGAAAGATGTAGTTGTACTAAGAAGGCAATGTTGTGTCAATGAGTTACCGGAGTATTTGGTTAAATGCAGTGACGTAGGAATGACTCAGTAGGTCTACCAAAGTAATTATAAAGCAATCTAACAGCAGTTGTGGATGTTTTTCAGGAGTACTGCACCAGACAAAAAGAGTTTACAGTTCACTGAAAACACTTTGAACATAGTGGGGTAAGTTGTCACAGTGCAAACACTCTACAGATTTGTGAAACATACAAATATTATCCAAAAATGAGAGGTATCTTACAGGAATATGAAACCATCTATTATATTTATTAACAAATTGTTTAAATATATAACATTTAAAACATATACCACATCAAAAGCATTTCATTCACACAATGTGACCAGAATAATACACACCAGTAGCATTCACTGATGTTGCGATTTTAAGCTGGAGTGAACATTTTCTCCCTTCACACGCCAACACAGTAGACAACATCACATTATTGAACACGCCGCTGCTAACAGGCTTATTCCTGCAGTGAAATGCTGACAGTGGAGCTATAAGATATAAAAAAATATGTTAGAACCATAAATTACTGCATGGATAGTCATAAACACAGATAGGTAGATAGATACTCACAGTAAGCTTTGGGTTTACACTGTAGACCCTGTTTGTAGAGATCAAAAATAATATTATTTAAAGCACTAGGCTGAGTCATGATAGTGTAAATTACTTTCCTATTTATGCACGGTCGAGAACTGCTTTATCATTTAACAGGAAATGTGACTGCACTGTAAGGACAGTAAAACAAGGGGTTTCCCACTCACTCCTTAAGAAGTTCCTGGTTGGAGCAAATATAACAAGACTAGCAGGCATATGATGTAAGTTTAGTGTATCCTCATATGTAATTACAATAATCAACAGAATACAAAAAGATTGGTCAAACTTTGTCAATATTGATGACCTAGATCAGTGAGAGCGGGTTATTTGTGTATGTCTGCTTCTGTAAGACTGAGACAAGGTCTTTTTTAATACATCACAGAACTGGCTGGGTTTCATTGTTACAGATGATATCATATTTGTATGACTCATAATTTAAACCATGCCATGTATGACTCATAATTTAAATCTCTCTCTCTCTCATGACAATTGTCAGCAGGCAAACTTCATTTAATTTCATTTACCCATCTCTTACAAGTTAAATGACTCACTCCTGGCAATCTAGATATAATTCCAGCGTTTTATTGTTAAACTTTTGTTAATTAAATTATGACTGCAGCAATGTTTTACTCAAGTAATGTAAAGGTAATATCAAGTTTAATAAAGAGAGAGAAAGAGAAATGAAAGACCTTACTAAATTAATCTTTTACAAAACAAACAAAAGATTCTAAATTCTAAATTATATTTAGGCTACATAAAAAAATACAACTGACAAACCTCAGAACAACTCCAAGCACAATCCTGGTTCGTCTCAATCCTGTCCAAATGGACCTTGTGGTTCTGAAGGATGAGGAGCAGAAGAAGAAGAAGCGGAAGATATTTCATGTTCGGTCAGTTCTGACGGTCCTGTACAAACTTGCTCTGTTGCTGTGAATGACTTGCTATCAGAGTATGCAGCACTTTGAATATCAAACGGGCATTGACATTTAGAGGGAAATTGCCCCCGCCCACTAAAACCCAGATAACGAGAAAAAAATAAAATAATTAAAAATAACGTAGTGCAGCTTCCAAAGCTCATCCATCTCTCTCTCTCTCTCTCTCTCTCTCTCTCTCTCTCTCTCTCTCCAATAGCTTACTCATAATGGCAATTCATGAGAATCATCTATAATAGCACTTAACGCCCCAAACCCCCTAAATGTCCCTAACAGCGCTCTCTGTGGCATTTCGCTCGATTAAAGTTTTATACAGGCGCTTGTAGTAAAGTTTAAGCAGAAACTCCATAATTGTACAGTTCTGTAGTTCTAGCTATATTTGCCTCTAGATGGAGACAAAAAGCAACAGCAGACACGCCTTCCGGATACAGGCGTGAATTTAAATAGGGATTTCCTACAAAAAATACCACAGTTACAACATCATTATTATTTTTCTCACAGGTTTTTATCACTTTCTTATGCCAAACGCTGCATATTGCCAAAAACCACAAAACAAAACCAACATGGATCATTGTCACTGGAGAATTTCAAGTTTCAAGAATTGCAAACAAAAACCAACCGTCTGTCTATATAGTGAGAAACACTTAAACACTTAAAATATTTGTATGTTATAGTACAAGTACATATATATATATATATATATATATATATATATATATATATATATATATATATATATATATATATATATATGGAGAGAGAGAGAGAGAGAGAGAGAGATTATCATTTATAATAATTAATAATTTAATGTATGCATTTAGCAGACACTTTTATCCAAAGCAACTTACAGTGCATTCAGGCTATACATTTTTTACCAGTATGTAAGATTACTTACAAATTGTTATCCGTTACTGATTCCAAATTACATGACTAAAAATGTAGTTAGTAACACAATCCATTACATTACACAATTACACATTTTAGGTAATATAGCTAATCAGACTACTTTTAGATTACTTTTGACCTAACTCATTTATCACATTGATTTAAATAGGATAATCTTCTACCATATTAATATAAAAATACAAAGAGTAAGGAAATATATTCCTTTTGTTTTTATCAACAACATGAAGTGCAATAAACATATTACATCAAGGTTTCCCAAACTGGGGTTTGTGAAGGAAAAGAAGTGGGTTTATGAGTTTAATGAAAAGCTAATAATTAATGAAATCATAAAAATGTTAAATTAAAACGAATAATTTTAAAATGAATAAAATAAAACACTTACTGAAAAAAAGGATATATTTTATTTGTTTACCACCATGTCACCATAATCAACGTCAGAGAAACATGCAAATGAACACTTATTAATTTTTGTATTATTATGTGATATGCTAGATACTGCAAGGGGTGCTCATATGTGATACAGTTGATTCAAATTACTTATGGTTGACTTCCGTGAAAAAAAGAATAATGATAATTATAATATAGATATTTAATGTATTACTATTATTACTAACGGTTATTATTAACACTCATCAAGATCTTATTTTTTAGGGGTCGACCAACCAGAAAAATAATAAATAGTAAAGATGATTAAAATATAGTTTTTAATTTATTATTATTATTATTTTTATTGTTATTATTCATGATGGTCGACCAGAAAAAAGATGACACATGATCATTTGGCGGGCGTTGTTTTCTCGTCTCTCCCCTGCGTTCAGTGCTGCTCTCTCTCTCTCTCTCTCTCTCTCTCTCTCTCTCTCTACCACACCCTCTTTGTTGTTTCTCTCCTCTAGCGGAGTCCATTTTTGACCCAAACCATGAGCGATTCAGAATAATCGACTGGAAGCCCGATGAACTGAGCTGCCAGTTCAATGTGACGGGAGAAAAGCTGCTGATTATTCACTGCAATATCACGGTAAGGTTCATCAGCCGTGTGTAGCTTACAGGAGAACAAGACCAGGCCGAGTGAAACAACACCACCCACAGGCCCTTTTGACTCGAATGAAGCCATCATATTGCGAATAAACCACGTATGCCGATCAGGATCGATTATATCCTCAAATAGATGTCAAAATCACGGCTAAAGAAGTATGCACTGCTAGTAAGTGCTACATTTAGCCTGCTAGCTTGATTAGCTAACAAAGTTAACTGCGTTTGCTGTCGCTTTAACTTTATTAGCTAAACAAACTCGCTAGATAATATTCAGGGTTGCTTGGTCAAATCAAATATAAGTTTAAATAGCGCATAAAGGGGTTGTTTTATTATAAAATGTTTTATGTGCAGTTAAGTTAGTTGGCAGGTAACCTTAATTAGCTTGTGTGCTAATTTAGCTAAGCGGATACTTCAGCTAGCTAAACGACGTTTCGGACAAAATATGTTTTTTGGTCTTGCCAAGCCGACTTTGAGATACTGTTTTAGGGAATATTTATTGCGTAACAAAACATTTTATTTATATAAACAGCTAGATTTTATGTGTATAACATTTTATTTGTATAAACATTTAGATTTTATGCTAATTTAGCAATAGCTGGTTTGCCGAAGTTCTTCATTTCCGGAGGCCTCTAAAGAAATGCGTAGATTTAAAACGACACGGCTGTATATTCAGTTAAAGCTATCGTGATTTGTTACAAAATAAGTGTTAGCGTAATTTATAGCTTCTATCGTAACGTGTTATAGGTGGTATTGGCAATATTAGCACATTTTCAAACTTCGCATTTGATCAATTTCTGCATTTTCATAGCTTTTAATGGACTAAAAATGTGCATGTATATTAACTGTACTACATTATGAAGAAGTCGTAATAACAACGCCACTGGCTGTTGTTATTGAGGCCAGTTAGTTTGCTGAGCTTCTGTCTTGATGTTTGAGGTGCTGTAAGGTCAGTATGTGGTCCTGACAAGCAGAAGCTCTCCCTCGACGGGAGACTCCGTTTTCTAACTAGTGGATGGGAACATAATGTTCATGTGATTTTACATGGAACCTCATCAGCTCTGTCACGCACTTCTCTGAAATAAACAGCACTGCACAGATCTGCCATGGTCTCTTCTGGGTTTTCATTAGAAGAGAGAACCTGCAGAGTTTGATTCATTGGTTTGGCAGATGGTAATGTGGCTGCTTATCATGCAAGTGGCTGATCAGATCCGCTCAGACTTCAGTAACCTTGTGGAAGGACAAAGGGTTTCGATATAGTTCTGAAGATGCTGACGTTGTAACTCTTGATATTTTCATAGGAGTCTTACCCTACAACCCCACCAATATGGTTCGTTGATTCAGATGACCCAAGTCTGACTGAAGTCCTTGAACGACTAGAGGATGTCAGAAAAGGCAATACTTTGGTAAGAAGGTGTTAACTCTCTCTGAAATTGTAATGAGATGTGATCATCCAAAATAAAGCACAAAATAAATATTTGAATGAACACAAGTTTAAAAGTTTGGGGTCAGTAAGATTTTTTTTTTATTGAAAAACTTAGCACTTATATTCAGCAAAGATTAATTAAATCGATCAAGTCACAGTAAAGACTTTTACATTGTTTCAAATAATCTATTTTAAATACACTGTTCATCTGAAGCAGCACAGTTGTTTTTGTCATTGATAATAATAATTGAAAGTGTTTCTTGAGCAGCAATTCAGCATATGAGAATGATTTCTGAAGGATCTTGTGACATTAATGACTAAAGTAATGATGCTGAAAATTCAGCTTTACCATCATAAGTTACATTTTAAAATATTAAAGTAGAAAAGGTATTTTAAATTGTAATAATTTTTAACAATGTTATTGTTTTTACTGTATTTTTGTCAAATAAAAGCAGACTTGGTGAGCATGAATCTTCTTTAAAAACAAAAACAAATTGATCATTTTGATTACAATATCATGGGAAATGATCAGCAATTATTCACATCTTTGTCCATTTTCATTTATTTAATTTATAAACTTGCACCTTTTTAATTACTGCACCATTTTGATTTGGGGAGATACATCTAAATGATAGCATTAAAATGCGAGCGTTTTTTATAAAACATTTTGAGATCATTAATAATGATCAAAATGTGTATACAGTTGTCAGGAAAATTTGTACACCATGTGCCATTTTTATTAACAAACTTTTATTATAAATGGTATAAAATAGTTTATTTTTCTTTATCATGGACTATCTTATTTGACATTGTTCCAAATATGTGGCATAATCTTGCAGCCCTAATCCATAATGAACCCAAATCCATGTTTTGGTCAGGATGAAGCTTTTTTCTGAACACACATTATCTCACATTATTTTATATGCAACCCAATGCATGTATGTAGATGAATGGTTTTATATGTTAGCAGGTAAAAAGTTGGCCAGTTTTTGTTACTTACCATTTGTTACCACTTTTCCTTCTTATGCAGCTCTTACAGCAGCTGAAAAGGCTGATCTGTGATTTATGCCGACTCTATAACCTGCCCCAGCATCCTGATGTGGAGATGCTGGATCAGCCACTTCCTGCTGGACCCATCAGTCAAGACAAGAAGGTAGCCCAAATCAGCACAGACCTACATAGTCTTATTACACGCCTTCCTTTTCCTGTTCCCGGTGTGAGCTGATGCAAGCTTTTTTGTCCTTGTTCTTCCCAGCATGGAACAACAGATGAAGTGACATCAGAAGAAGAGGAGGAAGAGGAAATGGCAGAGGTATTAAGCTTTAGGGGATGCGATGGATTCCTCATGACTCAAGTTATGACGAGAAGACTAGTTGATACCTAACACTTTCTTTTGTTTGTTGCTGTGGCAGCAGGATATTGAAGATCTAGACCACTATGATATGAAAGAGGAGGAACCGGTCGATGGGAAAAAGTCAGAGGATGATGGCATCGAGAAAGAGAATCTGGCCATTCTGGAGAAAATCCGCAAGAACCAGAGGCAGGACCACTTGAACGTAAGTGTCCATTCGGTAAGGTACCTTTTTATACAA